TTGGGAAAAAGATTTGGGGAAATGTTTTGGAAGGTGGAGAGCAGCCTTCTCCCCACTCCTGCTGTTTGCCACCCTCTTTCCCCTTCCATCTACCCAAAAACTGTTTCCCCATCGTCTTTTTTTCCCTTCCTCCTTGTCACCCTCTTTCCCTTCTCCATCTACCCAAAAACATTTCCCCACTGTCTTTTCACAAAGTCTCCTCCCTACTCCTGCTCACCACCCTTTTACCCATCTACCTCCCCAATTTTTGCCCGCTGTCTTTTCACAAAGCCTTCCCTGCTTCCTGCTCGCCCTCTTCTTTCCTCTACCCTGCTTGCCACCCTCTTTTTGCCCTCCATCTACCCCAAACTATTTTCCCCATCGCCTTTTTTCCAACCCTCTTTCCCCACTCCCTCTGGCCACCCTCTCTATTCTCCTCCCATTTGCCACCCTCTTCTCCCCTTCTATCTACCTAAACACTTCTTACCCACTATCTTTTCTTGCTGCACTTTCTTTTCTGCCCATTGTCTTCTTGCAAAACCTTTTCTCCTTCCCGCTCGCCACCCTCTTTATCCTTCTCCTGCTGGCCATTCTCTTCCCCCTCCATCTACCTAAAAGCTTCTCTCCTCTTTCTTTTCACAGAACCTTCTCTCCCTCCCTCTCTGCACCCTCTTTTCTCTTCCCACTTGTCAACCTTTTCCCCCCTCCATCTACTCAAAATATTTTTACCCACCATCTTTTTTCCCTTTCTTTTCTTCCAACCGTATTTTTGCAAACCTTCTCTTTCTCCTGCTCACCCCTGTTCCCTCATCACCACCCTTTCTTTCCCCCTTCCATCTACCCAAAAATTTTTTCCCCACTCTTTCCGTGAAACCTCTCTCCCTTCTGTCACCACCTTGTTTTTCCCCCTCCACCTACCCCCCAATTTTTTTCCCACCATCTTTTCCTCACCATCTTTAAGCAATGCCTTCTCCTGCTTCCCTCTACCCCTCCATCTATCCGAAAACTATTTTCCCCTTCCTACCGCTCCAGCCACACTGCAGTCTCTGTCGTCACCAACCACAGCAAGGCGAGCCGCGGTGCCGCAGACTACAGTCTCCAGCATGTGGCAGGGGATAGCCCTCGTCCTGGTCCTCTAAGCCCGGCATGAAGCAGCTTGGTGAGCAGACACAGAAGAGCCTGGAATGGCCTGACTCCTCTTCAGCACCATTTATATACTGAGGTTATGCATATGAGGTTTCTGGACTACACGTTCCAGGACTGGATAAGAGAAAGCCCAGAGGCCTACTGGGATTGCACTTTATTATCATGTTCTCATTGGATAGAGCAAGTCTTAGGACAACCAA